GGGGGGGGGGGGGGGGGGGGAACTGCTGAAAGATAAATACTTTATATATCCTCTTTGGTGGTCTCCAGTGGCAGCATTCAAAGAATACTAGATGCCATGTGTTCCCAGATCTTGTTGTTTTGCATTTATCTTCGTTATTTGAGTCTTGCGTTTACTGTTCATAATGCACTAATTATCACTGTGCTATGAATACGATATGTTATGAAGAAGAGCATTCTTTATTCTGTATGTTGATATCAGATAAGGCGGACAGCCCAGAGTTCCCAGAGCTAACAATTCTGGTGTGACGCATGCTTCATGTTTAATCGGTTTTATGTTTCAGGAACACACATGACGATCTTGGCTTCAGACCCGTGTCCCCTAATTGCCGCTATGCTATAAAACGAGGCAAATTGCGGAAGGTGGAAGTGTGGACGATGGGCGGGCAGTTGCTGAGGCTGCTGCTTCTTCTGTACGCCGCCGTAGCGCTGCTGTGTTCCATCGCTTCAGCTGAACAAGGTAGATTACGTACGAACACTACATTCATTCCGCCGAAATGGGCGATTATGAAATATGTTACATGACGTGGGCATGCTGTATCTGAGTACATGAGCTTTTTAGACTAATTGCTAGTTGTTTGGTTTTTATCTCAAGTGCCAAGCTTGATAAATCAATTTTCAGTATCTTCCCTACCAAACAGAAGCCATTAGCAAACGGCACAGTATCTGTGTGGTAATTTATTTTCTGGAAGAAATGCAACAATTTAACTTATCTTTCTTCCGGCAAGATGTTCTACGCACTTTCCATGGAGAAAACAAAATTGCAGCAGAGAAATGAAAATCTTATATTTTGTAATTAATGACCAACATGTCCGTGACCTTCGCAACGAGCCAGGTGGAGTAGCGTCCTTCTTCCACCGCTTCACACGGTCCCGAAAACCGTCCAGCTTTCCGAAACGTCGTGTTAGGGGTGGGACTGCAGACGTTGGGGAGAAACAGTTAAGAAGCACTGGTACACACTGACTGACACGCTGAATAGTCAAGCGAATCACTTCAGTTACCTCATCCTGCTCGTTTAATCTCCTCCGAAGTCTGAAACTGGATGGGCTATTTTATTGACGTAAACGCCTTCCACATTTGAAAAGTTCGCGTAATGCTTTGGTCTGTTGGCGACAGAAGTTGAATAATCGAAATGTGACATGTCACTTTGTATTGTGATAAGCAGCACAGTGGATCTGCTAGTGGCATCAAACCCAAGGGATTAATCTACACTGAACTTTATCAGAAGATCTTGAATCGCCGAAATTAAATGTTTCGATATTTTGCTGGATAAAAGGAGATACGTCGTCTTCAGTGAACTAAATTATTTTCATTTCGCATGAAACAAGAATTGAGTAGAGAACCGAATGGTAGGAACACTAGAATGCGAGACACTCAGTTGTGGTCTGTGGGTAAATAAGCCTTGAGTTATAAATCTAATAAACTAAAATAATAAAGAACAGGATGGCTGGGACAGGACTGGGGCATCAGTGGACTTTGTGTAGTCTGAGAAATGTTTTATAGGTGATACCTCACAAAATGGGCAGTGTCCAACGCAATTGTGGTGTAATGAATCAAGCTTTTCTACAGATCGTTAAGGAACCATTAGCTCGAGAGACAGATTTGTAGACAGACACAAGGAGGCAGATGGCTGGACAGATAACACGCAAGGAGAGGCAAACAAGGCAATGCGGCAGACGGATATGATTATGATAATATCGATGACGACGATGGTAATGTGGATAGTGAACACTTGTTTTTCCGCTTCAGATATAGCTAAGGCAAAGTCCTCATCGCAGGATGTCTTCGTACGTGACAGTTTTTATTGTGAACTAAAAATACTTGTTTGTGTGTGTGCACTGAAAAAGCTTTTGCATTTGGAGGTTGGTTTCGACAAGGGGTCTGAACTCGAAATCATGTCGTGCTTTCTAGGCTATAACGTCGTGTGGACTTGTGGTAGATAGCAACGTTTCGGAGGAACATACTGCCTCCATCTTCAACCCGAATTGTTTTTATCAGCTGCAATTCCACACGACTTTGCATTCCAGGAGGCCAGTATCAACATGGTCAGAGTAGTAAGAACTTTGTTGTACGTAGGTGACCAGTGAGAGTTTTGGCTCGTTTGGGAAGAGAAGTGGATGATTAACTGGGAGCAGGACCCGAAGATTTAATACCACAAGCACAAAATACCGCCACTGGGCATTATTTTAAATTAGTTTCAGCTATTTATGATGTTTCCCCGCCGAAATTCGGCATGCATTCTTGTACTCGTCATCGCAGCCGCGTGCCTCACACATGTAATCGCCGTACGCATTTACCCGAGTACTTAATTTAAATTTCCAAATTCATTTTCGTCTCTCACACCCTGAGACTTTCACTCCCATACAAAGTGATTAGCAGAACTATCCATCGTTTTGGTGAATATACGGAATGCTTACACAAACCAAGTTCTTGTTTATCCTGTCGCCGGCGATTTGTTAGAGGAGAATACTTAGGTAACTATCTTACAACCTACTAAAGGAGTTGTCCTGTAAGGATGTAGATAAAACTGAGTATAGGCTACGAGCATTAGGCCTATCCAAAAACGATAGCTGCTGAAGTCATCAATCATCTGAGATTTTCTCAACGCCTGTCTCGGAAAAATAACAGAAACATGTCTCATGATGCAATTAGAAGAATAAATTCTAGTAACGAGTAATGACGAAGGTGATGACTGTTGAATAGGTGGGCTCGAAGCAAAGGTACACGGGGAGGCGTACAAGTTTTTAGGCCTGGTATGAGTCGTTATATTTCAGCAAGTGAAGTTGGAGGACCGGGTTTGCATCTCCACGTCCGACTGATTGAGAGAGGATCATTGTGAGGCCAGTGGGTACCGACGTCCTACGGCCCTTTCAACGAGTTTAGCTTCGGGGCATGAAATTGACAGTTTACATCCATTCTGTGCCATTGTCTTGTGTGGTTTTGGCTTCCTCCCACACACTTCCGTTGCGCGGGGTGTGTCACACGGCACTTCTCCATTGCATTTGGCCAGTACTTTAACGTACTGGTGTTAACATTTCCGTAGAAACAAAACCCACAGTTTCTTAGAGCAGTGACAAATTTTGTGCTTAGGGTTTCATTTAGGATTTGTTTCGCATGGAAAATGATCTTTAAGGTTTTAGAATAAACGACGTTTACGCATTTGGTCACATGAAACCCGGAGCGCATGCAAATGTAAATGAAATAGTGAGGGTCTGGAAGACAACGCGAAACCACAAACAGAAAGCTTGAACATTCAGAACACTTCCCAGCCAGAATAAATGTCGACGTAACCAGAAAGTCGAGGTGTTGAACTATGTCCACTGTAGTGAATGGCGAATGACAAGTGCTTTCATTGCGCGCGGACTCTTATGACGGAAAGAAACCAGCCTACCATCGTGGTGCAGACTGCCTTCTTCAGAAACAGCAGTTTTTTTGCAACTTCGCTGCGAACGCGTCTAGCTCACAAGAGTCTCTAAGATCTTTCCGTGTAGAATGCTTCGAAAGCGGCCAATTACAGACACATTTAGACTGTCGTGTTTTGTTGTTTCCTACTAGTCGTGTTGAATAACACCCATTTTGTTAAGGAAAGGGGAAGAATTGTATAATATAGGAAACAAACCCAACATTTTCAAGGATGAATGAATGAACGCCAGGATTTGTTTTAAGCCTGTGTCTGGTATTGCTTTATATTTCTTATTAGCTATGCTGAATTTATGTTGTGTCGTTGGGAATTTGGTTTTGTTGCGGTTAGGGTACCATTGTTTCCACGTTCTTTGTTTCTGTTGCACACACAAACAAAGGGACGGTCAAAAGGTTTTCAATTATGATGCAGTGATTCGTCCTGGACGATATGACAAGCAACCGCCTCATTCGTTTTGCAGTGGCATACCAATTACCATAGCAACGACTGCTGTTGTGACCGCAGAACGTTAATGCGAAATGGTGATGACACCAAAACACGGATGAGAGTTTCATTGCATTAGCTTCAACAAAAAGTTCACAAACTCATTCCGGGGGAATGTTGAATGTGTAAATGAGAAAGAGGATCGGAGGCTGTGTTAGCAGGTTGTATAGAAGGTATAATTACTGCCAGACCTTTTAGAAGTGGTATAGGCTATTTACATTGAGCCATGAAGGCTGTTATGATTAGCACACGATTATTTGGCTAGGATACTCTGAATGTAGTTGATTTCATTACTCTTCATAGGGTTTAATGTCAGTTGCGTGTTATTATGGATAACATAATATCTGGAATTAACGTTTTTAATACACTTTCACTGACCGTTCATCCAAACAACGCGAACGTCATCGTGCATAATTGTGTTCATTCTCGACAGATTTCACAAAATCGTCACGTGTTCAATGTGTTATGTTAAAATGATGCGTTATTCTTCACGTGTTTTCATCAGGGATACACAACCATTAACAGTTTAAATTTCAAACATTGCATCCTACAGAAATCACTGAGCTGTAGTTTGTTGATTAAATGAGGAAGTGGATGGGCCGAGCGTGTGGCTCGTATAATTTATGGTTAACGTGGTCGGAAGTAATCGATATCATTTGGTAGAGTGGACCATCGACGTGGATGTAAGATAATATTAAACCTTATCGTAAGGAAGTGAATTGATTTGGATTGAAATGGCTTAGCTAACATGCAATGGTAGGCGATTTTTCAGTTGAATAATTGCTCAGGGTGATCAAGGAAGATTAGCCATTTCCAGGGATCAGATGTAATTGTTTTGTAGGTCTCTGAGTCAGGTAGCTATATAAAAGTCGCAGCTAGTGGAAATAGTTTCATAGTTTGCACCGCCGAAAATTATGTTCATGAATTATTATACATTCGTTCGCGAGTATTACAATTGAAATTCGAAATTTTCCAGACGCCGAAAAAAGCCTGTTTGCTGTGTAGGATATTGGGATAAGTAACTAATCAACAAACTCTAGAAGGAGCTTATAGTGTATGATCAGTTAATGAAGAAATATTGTGAAAGCCGAAGAGTCATTGTTGTGTACACAAGATCCGCTGCTGGTCAGATAATTTCAAGCAAAATCCTCCCAGCGTATTTCCTTTGGATCCATTTGAATATTATCCCATCCGCGCATAGGTCTTCCAATTGGTCTCGTCCCTTCAGATTTTCCTACTAGAATTTTGATTGCATTTCTGATATCCCCATGCATGCTACATTCCCCGCTCATCAATCAGTGAAGGTTTATATTTTGAAATCACATTTTAATGTCTTCTCGCCAGTAACAAAGAGGCCAGTCCTTCGAAAGCAACACTAAAGCCATTACCTGAATTGATATTTGGTCACACTGATGATGCTGAACGTCTCTTGTGAAAAGCGTACAGCGGGCAGATTTAGGTGTAAGCCTACAAAGACGGGATCTGCTTCTCAAACAGAGACAGTGATTTATGCTCCGCAGCCAATTTATAATTGTAAAATTACCGTCATCTTGACA